TCCAAGGAGAACAGCAATGAAAAAGTCTTCATACTGGACATGGTGTGGAGGACAATATCTGTCGCAGTCCTCTCCTGGCCTTTGAACACTATAGGAAATGGTTGACTCACCATGTCTGGAGGTATTTAAAAGGTAGGTGTGCAGATGTGGCACTCAGGGACATGGTTTAGTGGTGGACTTGGTAGTCTTAGGTTAATGGTTGGACTCAATGATCTTAAGGGTCTTTTCCAACCTAAATGAGTCAATGGTTCTATGATTACTTTAGAGAAACAACCAGCAGTTATATAAGCTGCAACAAGCACCACTGAAAGAACTCCATATTCCTTAAGATTCGACCATCAAATTACAATTAAATCAGCAAAGGAGAACCTATGGTAACCTTAGGTGACATAGCAAGCTACCAGTGGATTTACTGATCCTACCTGTTACAAGGAACACAAAAAGACTCTGCAATCTTCTTCATATTCAGGCTCAAAGATGTAATCAAATCACTAATTAAAAAAACTAAACAAAAGACACAAAAAATTGCCCAATTTACTACTTCAAGAATATATTTATAGTCTCCTCTATATCTACAGATGAGATACCTTTCTAAATTTACTGAAGAGCTGCCAGGACTCTTCAAAACTATCCTCAAACCATCATTTCTGCTACCATACTCTCCCCCTGAACATTACTCCAAGACACAAAAAATTCTTGCATAAACTAGATAGCATAAAGCACTTCCCAGCTAACACTCCCCTGGTCCAGCTGACATCCCAACATCCCATAGCATGAAAGCTTGTCTTCACTAAGAAAAGAGCAAGACAAACATTCAGGATTTCAGCTGAAAGATGTCATCAGACTTACCTATTTGATACTCACCCAGACAACTTTGTCTTCAAAGCTAACACATTCTCCTGATAATGAACACAGATATAGGCACCAATGTGGACATAAACCAGGCCAAATGCCTTCATAAGCTGCTTCTAAGATTTTAATTTCTTGTATCCTCAAGCCTGTAAGTGATGTCTTTACTACCTGCCATGGAAAACTGGACTTCACCCTTGCTTTCATCAAAATTCAAAAACTATCACAGTCCCTTCAAATCGCTGTTGAAATATTCCTATACAACATCATTTTTCTAGACATCACAGGCAGTATCAAAAATATCACAGGCAATATAAAAAATGATAGCTTGCAAACCACAGCAGAAAACCTACAGATCCAACTGCCTTGCTTGCAGGCAAAAAGTATTCATTTAAAACACAAAGAAACACCCACTCCAACATCAGCATATTTCTTTTGATTTTCTGGAACATAAGAATTCTTCTCCCTCCACCCTCGTCTAAACCATCTGCACCCGCAGGCTGAAAGTGACCTGTCTCTCTCCCTCTCCCTTGCAAAATACAGTAGTTGTCAACTCCTTTCTAACATTGCAGAGGGCTATCAACTACCTCTTCTCTCAGTAGTTTAGGTGGCACGTGTCTAATTAAACTCAGAAAACTATTCTCAACTCTTTTTACCTTTGACATTTTCTGTTTCTATCACAGACTTGAAGATCAATTCGTGTGGTTAAAAGTCTGCGTGGTTTTTACTACTAGCTTGGGTCTAATAAACTACAAGCTCTGTTTCAGCCCTGTCCCATTGTCACCATGATAATTTTATGCAAACACACCCTATGTAGTCTTTCTCACAGATGTCAGTGCGACATACAGTGAGCAAACTGCCTACATTTGCATTAAGAGTAGTTTTTGCAGAGTGAATTGGAACTTCCCTGCTCAAAAGATTCCAAGCAGCTTTTCTTTCCTCCTGCCAGCAAAAATAATTTTGTGAACACAGTTAACACAAATCCTACTGAAAGCTCCCCTAATTAATTTCCAAAGATACCGAATGCACTACGTCTACAGCCAATACCACTTTCTCACTAAATTTATAATTATTTCACATGAGCACAATGACAATTGTAACTAACACTCACACCATGTGGCTTTCTACTTTTCACATAATTTTAATCAATTATCATCCTCTGAAGACCTTAATATCTTTACTTTAATGCTTCCATACAAAGAAAATTATTTTGTCTTTGCTGTAATTTTCAGAATAATCAAGAGAAATCAAGTCCCGGCTTCTTTCATAACCATATTCCCTGCTTCCCATGGCTGCTTCTGTTCCACCATATGAATTATTTTCCACTGAAATTCTCCTGCTTGCATTGACATATATTTATAGAATTGTATGAGAAAGATTTCAATATTCTGTGACTTTACCTAGGAACCCTGCAACACTAGCTTCCAGAGCAGCCTGAAAAACATCACCTCTCTCCTCCATCTCCCTCTGCCTCTACAGTTACCTCCTGGGCTGCAGCCAGTTTGCCTGTCCAAGCATATCTGGCAAGGTGCTAAGGCAGCCAGCATGCTGGGCACGTGGGGTCCCACATCCAAGTTAAGAGGGAGGCTGTTGCTAGCAAGTGGAGTTTGGTCCTGATGTTAATGCTGAGGCAGTCCTTGGCATGGAATATCTTGCACCTGGTTGGTACAGAAATATTTGATGTCAAATTATTGAAAAATGTGTTATTAAATAGGTCCCTTTTTCTCAAGATATGGGAATTACAGTTGTGTGGTTGAGTACTACACAAAGCAGAAAAGTCAGGAGCAGCTCAGCTCTGCCAGCACGGGGAAGACACCATGGACTCCACTTGCCAAGCTGCAAAAATGTAAACTAGTCAAGAAACAGGACACTGGCTGCAGCTGCTGGCAGCAGCTCAGTCTTCAAAGGGTAGCTAGCATTTACCAATGATACGCTACCTTTATCACTCCATAAAACCAGATGTTGCTACGCACTAAAGCTGTCTCCTTTTACCTACAATTATCCGGAAGGAAAATCCAGAAATACTTCATGCTGTGAGAAGTCCGAGCCTAAACCCCTCTGAGCTATCTCACATGTCTGCCCTTGGTAGAGCAAACAAGCAAAAATCACCCCTTCCGCTCCGATACTTCTGCTAATTCTGGCACTAAGAGACGGAATTGCATTCCAGATCTGCTATGCTTCTCAAGCAACAAGTCGGGAAGTGTGAACAGAGCCACTGGATCTAAAAGAAACTATGACCTAGGTTTTTCCCCAGTGTTTTCATAGAGGGGCTCCTCATAACTATTCCTTGCAAAAGAACAAGATGAGCAGTGCAAAATATCTCTCCCACCAGATCCAGCAGCACTCCACAAATAGATAGTTTTTCAGCACGTTATTTCCCTTAAATTAATTTTCTTTTTCTAGATGTAACCCTATATCCACCAAAATACCTATGGTTTCTAAACAGTTTCTATTTAAGTTTACTATGAAAACTTATTACTGTATCATTATTATTATTACACAAGTAGAAACTTACACAACTGAAGATTTTTTCATCATGTATTGTCTTCCCTTAGCTAAACTACATATACGTATCTCACGATTTTTTTCATGAATTTATCACTTCACCATTGATTCTTCATGCTTTGCTCATGGTCTGCTAATGTATTTCTGGTAAATTATGCCTCATGACAGGTAGATTACTGCACAACACACACTAAGCAAAAATGCTCGTTATCATTATCTATAATGCTCGCTATCACGTAATACTTCTACATCTGTATCACCAAACTGTAAAAGGCATTTTAAGGCCTCTCCATGCTGCTCAGCCAATTCAGGGGCTTTGTGTTAACTTTCATTTGAACTTACTTGTTTTCTGATTTGATTTTCTTTCCGAAGGCATTCTTAATTTTTGCCTGTCAACTCTTAGCGTGAAAGATAAATTCACGGGATGTTACTGATTTTATCTAGCTTAACTACTATGTTTTTTTGCGGCTCATAATTGATCATTACAGCAATTCAGTTGCGGAGGGGTTCAACAAAATCTGATTTTCTTCTAAAACAAATAGAAGATAATAAGTAGGAAGAAAAAACATCTGTTGCTATATATGGAAGTGGACAAATAGTGCAAAATGAACATTAATAGTACTCAACACAAAGTATGTTTCTTGCCCAAAGCTGATTTTAAACTAACCTTTAGCCCTTTTGTGTTCAGGATGTGAAACAAAGTACTTGATCATTTAGATCAATCTTTGGACTCGTGTGGCCTCAAAGTATACCAAGCACTGGATGGTTTGCTAATTGTTGTTACACTGATAGAGTGTCAATGCCAACGATCCATGGAAGCCCGCTTGCCCCTAGATTAAAGGAACCTGTTGCTCTACCACTGCCTCCACCTGTAAGGTGCACACACTGCATCAAAATAGAAAACAGCAGTGATAAAGATGACAGACAGAATTAGACTTCATCTCTGGTCAAGTTAGAGATAAAAGATCATGTTAGCTACCCTAATGCCTTGTAACTAAACAGGTAACAAATGCCTGCACAGAGACATTTAAATACAAACCATGGAAATTTGAAAGCCATCTCTAAAAATGCAAAGGCAAAAGCTAACCAAGATATCACAACTTTTGAACATAATAATTTCGAATTCCATAAGCCTTTTGTATTATTTAGGAGAGCTACTGAATTTGTGTCTTTTGTTTGCATTTATTCACATCACTGCAGTGTCTCCTTTGAGAGATAAAGGAAACATTAGCAGTTACCTCGATTTGAAAGGCTTCCGTTCTGAATACTTGAGAATGCTATGGGATGTGACAAGTTTCTACATTGCTCTCAGTGACTTTTACTGTACAAAGACTAAAATTACAGGGTTTGCTTGGGATATTATTTGCACTGCCTCTGGAAATAGCACCACAGTTGTCAGTTATGATGCGATCTTTCTCCCGCTTTCTTGTTAGTTACATTTTGCTATGTGGAGAAACAAACCTAGTGCTATCATTCTCACCAGCAGGAGAATTTATTAGCAAACCATTAGGCTCCTTCTGCCTGAGGATGTCTTCTGCCTGACTGTTATTTTTGCAATTTTAGACAACGTCTGTGACTAGCACACTGTGAAGAAATGCAAGAGGCAAATCCTCTTTAAAAGCATAAGAGAAACTGCTGATACTTACCAAACTATTCCCTGAGCCCCAGAGCCAATAGGTTTCAAGTTCTGGTAGCGTTTGAGAACTGTGAAGGTCGAGTCACCTACTTCCACGCTGTAGAACTGGTTGTCAACTTTGCTTTTGCTCATGTTGTAATGTTTGGCAATATATGACACATCCACTTGTTTCCCAAATCCCTGTAGTACAGAAGAAGGGAAGGGGGAGGGAGTGGAAAAAACACAGAAAGCAAGGCTGGTAAAACATCAGAATACTGATAAAACACAGTCAGCCTAATTCTCCAATATAAATCCTTCACATTTTAGGCTCATTGTCATAGATCTACATGAAATTCTCAAATGCTCTCAAAGACTGTATCAAACCCTCTTTCACCCAGGAAGCAATGATAAAAAGCCACTGATTAAAGAAATCTAGTGACTTCTCCAGCTGATGTTTGTGACACAGTTACTCTCCACTGCTGGTCTCTCCTTGCCGTCACTGTTGCTTTCTAACTACTGGCTTGCACATTCATGCTGATTCTGCTCTCACTTGTACTGCAATAAATATCTTATTTTAAAACAAGAAGACTTACATCAGTGTAGAAGTCAAGAGACGTAGGAATTAGGCTTTTCATCATTGGTCAGATAGAGCAAATAAGATGATCTTTGAGGTCCCTTCCAACCCAAACCATTCTATGATTCTATGATTCTATGAGCGCTAAAACTTTCCCTGAGCATATGATAAAGGCCTTGAGAACCTTTCACCAGGAGTTGCAAAAGAAACAGAGACAAACTGTGACCTGACATTGCTCGGTATCATGGAGAGTATCCAGTAGCTCAGGAGATATTCCCAAGTTCTGGGTTCCTAAGGATAGAAGTTTTGCTCCTATGACCTGACAAAAGCATTAGTCCTACGCAAAGGCTAATTTTCATGACACAAAGTCGAGTTACTGTGAACTTTCTATGCTTGCATTGAAGCTAGCACTGCAGACCTGTAACCTCACCCAAATTTGTAGAACTACTGTGCAGAAAGCTACTTTATAACCATTTGATGACTACTAGTGAGCTGGGTTTCCTGAAGACTATGGAGCAAAGTATATAGTAATTTGAGATAAAAATTAGAATTTAGTGTTTGTAATCTAGGATTCTATACTACCTGATGCTGAGCACAGGATGCAAAAGTTCAACGTATTACAACAGATCTGTCCTCAAGTAGTTGGCAATTCACTTACAGAAGTCAAGACTTTTCCAAATGCTTTCTGTAAGGAGAAGCACAAATGAAACATACCTCTCTCTGCCTATGCATTTATTTTCAGTGCTCACAAACACAGCTTCTAAAGTTTCTTATTTGCTCTATTCTAAACTCTTTTCCCCAAAAAATCTATATAATAATCAATCGTGTTATGTGACTAAGGACTACTAAGTTCAATTTTGATGGAGCAGGAAAAAATGTAAAGTCGATTTGGTGAATATTATTTTTTCAATTTAGAAGGACATCATTCCAGTGTTCCACAAAGCTGGGCATTAAAAACAGGTAACTGACCTTGCTGAGAACTTAGATTCTCAGGTTTGCCTTAGGATAATTAATGTTCTTTTTTTGTCCATTATCTCACTGGAAGGCCCATTGCCACTGGACAGCATCGGTTAAACCTAACCACCTCATTTAGAGACTTTGAAACATTGTAGTAAATGTAGCTGTTCATTCAAACAGAAAATCTCATTTCAGAAAAGCAATTAGAAACATTACATTTACTTGTTAATCAGACACAGGGCAAGGCTTTTTTGGTTTTTTTTCAAATGCAGGAAGTGAGAGATTTGTGGACACCAACATAGTGCTACATTCAAGCTTACAGAGAGTGAAACGACTCCGAAAGAGTTTTGAATTTTTCTCATCTGAAGAAAGACGGACTGCATCTGATTCACATTGTGTAGCCTTAGTCTAAAAACTCCTTCCACTATGTGAAGAGAGGTGCATAAATTTGGCTAGCTCAGCTATTCATACCAGACCTGGAATCGAGAGGCTTTATTTTAATAATATGCTCCGGATAGACAGGAAATAATCACAGCTCCCTCTGGCTAGACCAACACATTTGCAGCGTGTTTTTTTCTGATGTCATTATCAGAACAACGCAGACGCTATTCAGCATTAACACCCGTTACTCTGAAACCAACATTATATAAAGTGTTGGCATAAAAATTGCATTCCTTAGTGGGCCTGACTTGTAACCAGCTCCTCCGGAAGTACAGATACAGCGACTTTTTCAAACAAACCAGATGACCGTGTTAAGGCTTGGGTGAGCCAGGCCTGCCATAACTTGTGTGCATCCTCACTGCCCAGCTACCCAACAGTCCATCATGTAGTACGGAGGTCCATGGGAACAGATACTTTGTCACTCTACGTTTAGAATCCGGTGCGCATGAGAATTACTTCAAGTCTGACCAACCTGGCTAGCTGCTGGCCTCAAGAATCTCATGCTGCCCACAGTGGGATTTCTGAACTACTGCAGTTCCAGCAGGTGATTATTTTAAATCCAGGAATGTCTTAAAAACTGAATCAAACAGCTCAGAAGAACCACTCTGCAGTACCTCACTATATATGGATAAATAACGTATGCAATCGCTTTAGTAATTTCAACAGCAATTAAAGTGATGTTGATGAATGGGACACAGAGACCACAACCAGTAAGACTTGGTCAGAACACACCAGTGCCCTGACGAGCAGCTCTCCTCTGCACAAAACGGACCATTCCTGTGACAATCCGCTCCTAGCTGCGTGTGAGTAGGAAAGGTAAAGACTGTTTTATTTTTCATGGAATTGTTTTCTTTTTAGGTTAATGTTTTTCTCAAAGCCTGTCTACTTAAAAAACCTGTGAGCCATCAGAAGCTTTGATAGAAAATATCAACACCAAGAATTACTTAAAAAATTCAAGATAGGCTGATTCAGTTTGAAGCTCACTCCAAGGAGAATGACTCCTCTGAGTGACAAACACTTCAGCTTTGTGGACAGGCCAAACAGTATCCAGGTCATCTACTAATTTGCGTCCTCCCTTTAAATCCACACTACTAAAAAAATACAAAAACCCCCTACTTTCTGTATTTTGCTGATTTTTACCAAAGCCTAAATAAGCAAAATTAAAACACAGTAAGCCTACTGCTTAAGCCCAAAGTACTGCTTACTTTTATAAGAACCAGGAGATGAATAACTGTCCTTGTCATGATCGCAATTTAAATCAAATCCCTAAATCAACAAATTAACAGTGTTATTGGATTAATCACATTTGATCAGATCCCCAAATCAAGATGACACGTAATCAAATTGTAAACCATCTCCAAACCAATACAACAGCCACTTCCTAAATGAGGATGAGGAAATGGCAGTTTTGTTCCACTTTAAAATGAAGCTAAAAAAAACTTTTCCCATTGGCAAGGCAATTAATACTCTTAATAGAACATGTCAATGTTAGTTTTAGTTTCAAACCCTGATTAAAAGGTTCATTCTCAAAGTCTTCAAATCCACATTGCTGATTTTAAAGAAACCTACACACCACATTTTGGTCTTATTCTGTTACATTCTCAGTGCTCACTCAAACCCCTTCCAGAAGCCTTGGTGTTGGTATAGCAGTTGGTATCTCCTTTCCCCACATCCCATCTACACCATGTGAGCGATGTTGTGATTCAGCCCAGCCGGCAGCTGAGCCACCACTCAGCCGCTCGCTCCCTCCTCGCCTCGATGAGGTGAGAGGAGAAAAATGTAACAAAAGGCCTGAGGGTCGAGAAAAGAACAGGGAGTGAGCACCCAACGACCATGGTCCCAGGCAAAACAGACTTTGCTTGGGGACAAAACAGTTCAATTTGTTAACAGTTTCTTGAGAGGAGAGAGTGAAAACAAGGCTAGATCTTAAAAACAATAACACCTCCTCTCTTCTTGCCTTTACCTCCTCTCCTGAGTGATGCAGGAGGACAGGGAATGCGGGGGGTGCAGGTCAGTTCATCCCATGTTTTTACTGCCACTCCTTTTCTTAAAGGAGGAGGAGTCCTTACACCCGTTTCCCTTGCTCCAGTGGATCCCCTACTCACAAGGAAAATCCACAGACTTCTCCAGAGTGAGTCCTACCCCCAGGATGCAATCCTTCCCAATTGGATTGCTCCAGCGCAGGCTTTTACCACAGTCACGGATTCTTACAGAGCTGCCGC